GGTTAATTTGTATGTAATAAATAAAATAATTAATAGTGCCTGGATACTCTACTAAAAGGTGTTGCTGTTTAACTGAAAGGAAAAAAAGAGCAGTAACACAAACAAACGTGTTGCTCCAGCAGCATTGTATTGTATTTGTTTCTTGCACCATTTCTCACTGATAGAAGAGCTCTTGCCACACCTATTAAGAAAATACCAAATGCCAAAGCTCTGTGCATCTTGTTTGTTCTCCTTAGCCCATCTGAGCAAGGAACAGTGAGGGTGCAGCACCTCAAAAGGGCTTCAAGGAAATAGTTAAATGAATTGAGATCTCCTTGGTAATTCCGTACTGACATGGGTGATAGGGGTGTGGTACAGTGTGTGCATGTTTGGTTCTCTCTTTTATAAACTATTGTAAGAGAGTCTTCATAGCCTTGGCTGTAGAGTGGTAAAAGCTTGACAAGAGATTACTTATGAATCTCTTTGAATGAAGTTCTGCATTTACTTTGTGTCTCATAGAGTTGGTTCCTTTTCTCTTTTTCCTTCTTTTTTCTTTTTTTTCGTGCTCCTGTTGTCAAGCCCTACTGGGTTTGGCATTTTGAACTCTCTTTAGTCAAATATGGCACTAAGCATCAGTCTGAGAATGTTTGTTGAACAGCATTAAGAGTCTGCCAAAAAGACATCGTGTCCTTCTTCATTTGATATGTTCTGTCTGCTCAGGTTCTAGGTGAACTAATTATGGCTGTAACCTCCTGTTGTACTGTTCCCCTGGTCAGAAAGCTGCTCTGATTTTAAGATGAACTTGATGGGTCTGTAAAAGCCATTGTAGGACTGGGTTCTCTGTGAGTTAATAGTCCCAGCCCAGGAGGTCCCTTTCAATCCTGAATTGCTGATCAGACATTTATGAGAAGTGACAGATTAAGAACTGGAACAGGGCTCTCCAGCCTTCTTTTTGGGATGTTTGCAAGGGGTACAGGGCAGAGATCCTGGTTTGAGCTCCAGTACCTGGTGACTTATAGAAATGCACTCACATACCAAGCTGGGAGGGGTCGGGGACAGTGACTTCTGGCAATGAGCGAGAAGCAGAATAACCCAACTCTGGTGAATCCAGTCTGCTATGGGAATCAGTTACAGCCACTGATGTGGGTCCAGAGAGGGGAGAGAATAGGGCATTCCTGTTGCCACCAGCATATCTCAGCTCTGCAGTGTTTTGGGAAGTCAGGAACTTCTGCTACTGAACTTATTGTACAGCTGTGGGCCCTCACAGGCAGTGCTGGTTCATCTTGTTGTAACTCTGCTCTTGGGGGTGATGGGGAAGCGTGCCAAAGTCACTCTATGTACCTACCACATGCCGAGAAGTTGTTTCACAGTGTGTGGGCAGCCACCATCACATCCTCATGCCACATCTTCCAAGCAAGCTCCTCACTTGTGTGTCTGTGTTTCATTCTGCAAGCATTATGATAGAATGTCACTGCTTCCAATATCAGAAAACTTCTTTATGTTTCAGATGGAGAAGCAGGCTCCCCAGGAACTAGTTCTCTTTTTCTATTCAATCTTTACAGTAATAGACTTTTATCTTTATGCATTCCTGTCTTTATTTTCCCTCTTCTGTGCTCCTAAGTAGCCCTAGTAATAAAGGCATTCTTCCAAGCTGTTTTCTAAACTCCGCAGAAGCCTCTTTTACTGAGGTGTCACTTCTGCTCACATCTAAGAAATGTGTCCATACTGTGCAATTCCACCATCAAAGCCTTTTACAGCTGAACTTGTGTCTTGTTTTTATAGCTGCACCTTTTAGGATACCTACTGGGTCATTTTACATTGTCCCTTTGGTGGCTTTACCACTTCTTACCGGTTTATCTGTTTTTAAAGAGTGTCCAGTACCATTTCCTACCATGTCAAGCTTTTCCTTGTTGTTGGTTTCAATTATTTCATGCTGTCCTTGTGCTTAAGGCAAGCAGAAAGCTTGGAGACCTGAAGTGTAGAATGAATCATTTAGGGCAGGCAATCAGCTTTGGAAGAGAGAACAAATTGAAAGTCATTTTCTCCCCAAACTGCTCTCGTTAATTTAGTTTTCAGTGCAGCCTTTCTTCTCCCCTTTTATTTAGAAGATGAACTAAATACCAAGAGAAGGATAGGAAAGATGCTTCTAAGAATGTCAGGAACCCATTTCCATTCCTCCCAAAACTAGGGAAAAGAATAGCCTTAACAAATTAGAGCTCCAACAAGCTAAAAAGAAGTTTTAAATTATATGTGTAGATATTAGAAATCTATTGGTGTGTCATGTCATAACCCTGATGACATACTTGTTTCTTATAAGTCAGAGGTCACAAATGAGCCATTTTATGTGTATCTGTCCAAGTTCTTCATGAGTTTATGTACTAACTTTGGAACTTTTGTGCATTTAACAATTTTGATGTCATTCTGAATAATGGAATGTTAAAGGCTGCATTCAAATAACAGTATTAAATAGAACACTGGAAGTATCTTTAATAAAGTAGTGAGTTTGTACAGAATATCAGCAACATGATTTATACAAACTCTAGGAAGTCAGTTTTAAACAATTGCAGAAAAAAACTATTAATATTTTATATTATTGAAAAATCTGTTCTCCCCCTTTCCAACAAGCGTTTTGTATGTTTTTATTTTCTAGGAATCTTTTCTTCTTCTCTTGGAGGGGGAATTTGCCTTGTGTTTATTTCCTTTGGGTTGTTTTTTGCTAATATATTCTCAAACAGTTGTGTGGAAATAGAGCTAACTGGCTTGTATCTTGTATCTGTGGATATCCATGTCACTCCATCGGTGCTTGTGATGCACCACGTACACCAAAATTGGATGGGAACGACATAATTGCAGACAGAGGTGTTGCTGAGACGTGGGGGAGTGCAGGAGCTGTTTCTCAGTCCAGAGCTCCTCCATCTCTCTGCAGCCCGGGGCTGATGCCATCCCATAATGATGTGTTTCCTGTGTTTGTCTCCTCCTATCAATGATCTTCCTCTGCAGGACCTCGTCCTTTACTCAGCCCTCGGTGATTTAATTCAGGCTATTGTCTCTTGCTGAGTACATTCATATTAAAGCCCTCCTGGGAACACTGAATAATGCACTGAGTGTTTTGCTAAAGGATCTTATTTCATATCAAGAGTGTGTTAAACATAGGCAAGAGCATGAAAACGTTTGGAGCAGTGAAGTGTTACACTTGCATTTCTCTCGTTATCCTCTTACTCTAGCTGTAATGATGGAACTGCAGCTGGTCTAAGTGCATGTTTAGGGAAGAAAATATCTGCCATTTCATGATGAACGTCTCCTTCTACACTCTAGTTTTACTGGCCATTTTGGAAGAGTGATTCTTTTATTGATAAGGTGTGGTAAAGCTTGATCGGTTTGCAGTTCATGTAATTTTTTTCCTTTTTTTGTGGTGTAAGTTGTTGTGGTTGGGGGGGGTGATATTTTCCTATATATGGTTATTAACTGAGACTTAGTAAATGCTTATTGGGATTTTTGGTTTTGTGTGCTGTGAATGGAAAAGTGTCTTAAAATCCACTACAGAACTGCCATATGTATATTGGAATATTTGGGAGCCTTAATCCATCTTCTTTCTGTAGAAGATGGATCTGCTGCTTCATTTTGCCCTTGTAGAACTTTTGGAAGACAGTTTTGGAGATTGTTACTGGATACAGTTACTCCAGATCCAGAGCATAAGAGTCCTAAAATAATCCAGGTTGGAAGCTGTGTCTGGAGGTTTAATCCCACCCCTGACCAGAATTGATCGTTTTAGTTTTGGGTGCTTAGGGCCTGGCCACTTCAGTCTGGAACATGTGACTGTATCAGAGTTTCACAGCCTATCTGGGCAACCTTCTCCAGTATTGGACAAGGTTTTTCTCAAGTATCTAGGCAGCTCTTCTGGTCTTGGCCTTTGTGTCCCTTGCCTTTCTTACTATCACTGAGCACTTCCCAAAAAGCCTTGCTGCTTCTTTACCAATGCCACTGGACAGCTGGAGGCAGTAATAAGTTCTCCCCTCACTTCTCTCTTGAGATACAAGACACTAGAGAATCTGTTCACCTGCATTCCTTCCATCTTGCCTGCGTGGATTTTGGGTAAGGGTATGGAAATATCCCTCCACACCTACTGAAAGCTTGTTTTGTACCTCTGGTGCTGTGGGGCTTGTGTGGATCAGAGAGTGATTCCCAGAAGAAAAGTGTTCCTGACTCAGATTAGATGTTGAAATCAATCTGCTAGGGCTGGAGGGAAGACAGAATTGGTTCCTCCCTTTCATGTGTGGTGGGCAAGAGATTACAGAAATTACTGTACACATCTTAATTGGCTCAGGCTCTCTCTTTTTACCTCCACAGCAATATGTTTGTAGACAAGTTAAGAATGAAAAAATTAATACAAATATTGCAAGAGGATACCAGGGAGTTAGGTTTTTCTAGAGTGGAGAGAGGAAGATTATTGGTTGAAGGGGGAGGAGTTGTTCTGCTTTTTCAGCCACTGCTTTGAATAATGAAATATTTATTCCCTTGGAGAAGAACAGCTGAAACAATAAAGCTGTGTTTATAGAAAAATGGTCATTTGTCCAGACTCTGATTTCTGGTTCATCAATACCTCTTTGTGAGAGGTACTTCCCTCAAATATGCCTTTGTTTCCAATGGAATGCAACCAGAGGCGTATAGTGCAAGGAGTCTCAGTTGGGCTGGCTTAAACAAACAATAAAACAGTGCAAAGACTGAAATTAAAATGTATATATTTGTTCTGTGCCATGTTCTATTCATTACCTGATTGGAGCATGAGGCAAAACAACACATCTTGAAGCTTCCAGCTGGCTGAGCTGTTCATCTGTACAGCAATGTTACACATGTTTTAAAACAGGATGAACAAGGCAGTTGCCAAGCTTTTCTTATGGTTTGTTTAACGAGCTTCTGAATGGTGGAAATAACCAGAAAAGTCCTCAATTCATGGCTTTTCATAAGGACAAACACCAACTTTTTTTTTTTTTTTCCCAGACTACTGAGCCCAGTGATCCAGTGTTATGCTTGGAGGGACTATGACAGGTGGTAAGTGAGATGGCTTCAGGCCACTTTGAGTGTAATTCATCTCTTTTCTGAAAATGACATCTGCTTGCCCAGAGGGTGCTCGAGTCTATTTTCTTCTCTCCATGCCCTGATATCCTTTGCTGGAAGCAACTGAGAGCTCAGAACATTTATTACCACGTCATTGTTCGTCATGTCCCTGTTGTGATGACAGTGTTAAGGCTCCCTTTCTCTGCCAGGGCACCACAATGTAGCCTACAACGCAAGTTTAATAACATAAAGGTACATTTTTAGTTTGGTTTATTCTGCCTTTTTTCTCTCCATTCTGGTCTGTTGACCTTTCCTGGTGCTTTGACTTGAATTGTTTGGTTCTCTTGAAAGCACCATCTAGTGGTACAAGCTCATTGAGAAATCGAGGAATAGGTTCTGTTGCTTCTTTCTGGGGTAAATCTAGCTCTTGTTTTGTCTTTGCTACAAATAAGGTTCAAGAGCATTTCACCAAGTTCCTTTCCAGCCTAGTTCACATTTGGAAAAATTTGACTGCATCCCACCTCTGTGGTGCCTTTAAAAAATTTTTTTTTGTGGGAGCTTAAGTCAAATGGATCTCCAAGAAGTGAAGAATGGTAAGTATAAAAGAAGATTGGTCTATTAGAGAAACAGGTGGTGCTGCCCCATAGTCTGCTCCAGAGGCAGGGATGAGTCTGCAGGGGGGGCAGGTGGAGGAGTGCTGCTGTTCTGTCAACAGTCAGGGCTTTTTCCCGAGTGGTTTATGCATGTTTTGGATACACCCTAGGAGTAAGATGTAAGGATATTGCCCTCTCTGCAGCAAGAAGGAACAATGAGTGCAGAGTTAAGCAGGATGTAACAAGGACAAGGATGGCAGCTGCAGAGAGGGAATACAGAGACAACTTCTGCCACCTATGGCAGAAGCAAGCAAGAACCATGGGATACAGGGAAGGAAGTGACCAGGAACTGCAGGAATGATGAATCATGGAGAATATGAATGTGAAGTCAGTGAATTAAAAGCAGCTGAATACAACAGTGCTCATGTGTGAAGAGTCCATTGAGAAGTCAGGACAAGTCATCAAAGAATTTGTGAAATGACTGGCACATGTTGGAGACAGGGCTGGCAGTAGTTGCTTTATTGTGTCCATATGACAGCCTGGGTTTAACAGGATGGACATCGTTGTGCCAATAATTTATTTGTTCTGGTCACTGAACAGAACACAGATAGGTGCAGCACTGTAAAAGGAGCAGTATTTCACTCTGACTACTTCTTGGTGGTCTAGTAGCAAAACAGAAGGAATGTTCATGAACAGCTAAATTTCATTACCATTGACAGCCACAGTGATGGGCAGATGGTGTCACACCTTGCTGTCTTGCCTGGATCAAACACTTTGTTTGACTGATAATGGGAAAATCTCTCATGGAAAATTTCTCTCTCCCTCCCAGATTAACACTACCTGCCCTTTTTATTGTCACCATATTATAGAGACCCGAGGCATCTTTCAATTTGCTTAAAAATATCAAAGGAAAAGTGTTTACTGATGCCCGGTAAATATGGAAATATATAAGGACAGCATCTTGACAGATCCATCATAAAAGACTTGTCCTGTAATGTCGTACAACCCACTTGTTTGAGAGTTTGAGGGGGCAAAATCTGAGTTTGAGCATCTTTAAATAAAAAGGTGTTTGAAATCCTATGATTTTTGGCCCATGAAAATGACACATAGTTAGCAAGATGAAAATAATGCCTTTAATATTTTAGATTCTAGAAATATTTTCAGCCTAACCTCGTTCAATTTTCAACCAACTGATACCAGGTTTGTGGTAAAGTCAGCAATCAGAAATGAAAGAAAAAAAGCTGCTTGTCAATGTTATGCTTCCCTATGGAGCTCTTGGCTACAACAGAGCAGAGAAGGTTTTAAAACAGACAGCCTAGCTTCAAAGATACACTTAATAAGCAGGAGGGACCAACTGTTTTGACTATAGAGGGAATGACTATAGACTGATAATGAAGGTGAAAGTGATGTATTTTTTTGTGTGTCTGCAATGCATAGAGGGCCACCACTTAATGCATAGCATTAGTAATATAAATTACATCCTGTTTTATTCCCTATTGTGACAGTAAGAAGGAGACAGACACAGAAGGAGAAGAAGGAAGAAAACTCAAAAGGAGAAAATCTACAGACTGAAACAGGGAGGACAGTGGGCAAATTGTGGAAATGCTTCACACCTAGAACATTGCTGAGGTAAGTGAAATTTAAGTATGTGAACCTTGCCAAAATAAAAGTTACCAGCTCTTATTCCAAAATTGCAGGGTCTTAGTAGGTGAAACATTTTGTAAATAATGACACAACTGGAAAGAAATGAATGCTAAAAATTGGGAGATATGATGGGATTCCATTTGCATTAAGGTAAGGGTCATGTAGTGATGCAATATCAAATTATGTGTGAGAAAAGGAATTGTTTTAGATACCAACTGTATGAGATGGGTAGCTACAGCTCATGCTTGGAACTTCCTGTTGTAGACAGGTTATATTTACCTGGTCAAGTTGGAGAACACTTTTGGAGCCTGGAGCAGTGCAGGTTAGCCCTGAAAACCAAGGATCTCTACTGCTATTGTACTGGTATTCTGCTCTTGGTGTACCACACACACACAAAAACTCCAAACAAAAAAACACTCCACCAAACCCAAACATTAATAACTGAAACAAAAAAACCAAAGAACTCACAAGCCAATAAACCCAAACACCATGGAAGAAAGCCCCAGTCAACCAAACAGAAAAACCCACATCAGAAAAACCTACTACCAATCAAACAAACAAAAAACAAACCCAAACAAACACCCCAAAAAACCCAAAACAAACAAAAACAGAAAAAAAACCCCACCAAAACAAAACCAGAAACCCAAACAAACAAAAAAAAAATCACACCAAAAATACCGGAAAAAAACCTTGCTTTGTAAGGTGGAATTATTTGTTCTAGCTAACACTTGATATACTTGTTGATTCTGGCCTGGTTAAATACTGAATAAAAGCAAGTAATTTATTTAAGGCCTTTTATGCCAGCAAGGTGAAGTAATCACTGCTGCATTCTTTGGTTGTGTCTCTTGGCAAGTCAATCAATCAATTTTTAAAAAAAATTTTATTTAGTCTCAGTTGAATTTCATCTGTTTGGTGGAATTTGCAGTTCCTCTCTGGCACCTGTGCCTTGGTGTTGTAGTTGAAGAATAAAGTTATTTCCCAATCACGGTTGTATTAGTGTTTTGGGTTTTTTTCTTGATCTTTCTTGAACTGTTCTGTGTCATGGCTGTCAAATTATTTCCTTAAGTTTCCATAATGCTTTTAATCTTCTTTTGGAAGGGAAGATGTGACACATTCCCCTGAGTCCTATTCCATGACAATGCAGCTGGGCTAACAGAAGTGTTGACTGTCCACTGATCTGACTACATGAGCTGATACCTTTCAAAAGAGTGGGTTTATTGGCAATGGGCTCCTCAAATGTGATTTCAGTGATGGTTGTGTTCAGACTGACATAAAAAGTGCATGTATTGATATTTCAAAGCAGAGTCATGCAAATGTATATGTACATTTCTATTAAAAAAAGAATAGAAACCTTGGTGGGTTTAAAACCTGGGTGAACCTCCAGAAATACCTTGGAGCTGTCTGCCATGTAATGCCCTGACAACACTTGTGTGCAGAGCAAGAAAGCAGCATTTGTGCCATGAGCAGTTAACTGGTAAGTAAGGTAACATTTTCTGTGTTGTAGGCTCCTGAAGCAGTTTCAGCTTCTGTACCCAAAAGCCTCATTAAATGATATCTTGCATGTGTGTCATTGTATGCAAATGCTTTCATTTCCAGCTTCTACAATATCTACATATGGGAGTCTGAAGTTTTATTGTAATGCTGATGGGACATGAATCCTCCTTTTTACACACAGGGCAGAACTCACATGTGGCCCCATTATTGAGTTGAACATTAGGCAAGAAATCTTTGCATGCTCAGTCATCTTATTCTGATGTTTTTCAGCCTATGTGTGTTCACAAAGGTGACCTTTTACTGAGTCTTCTGTGACTGCCTGCCCAAGGGTTTACCTAACAAGACTACCTGCTCCTGTGAGCCTGACCTCTCTTAAATCACCACAGCAATAGAATTACTATCTCAGTTTTTTGTGAAAATCTTTGATTGGCACCGCTTTTGGAACATGTATCTGCATATCTCACTCCAAAGAGCCTATTAGCTGTCTGAGGCACTGCCTTTCAAGTGCATGGCAATTAAGGAGAACACAGAAGTTAACCTGGAAATTATATTAGGTTCACAAAAGATTTGGAGCAAGATAAGCTGGTGTGGTTTTTGGGGAATGTGCTTTGCTCTTTACTGTAATTTCAGGAACAGAAGTCTAAAATGGATTTGTTAGTGCAAGAGTTTCCAGCATTTAATTCTCCAGGTAAGTTGTAGGTTCATGGTCATTGTCTTTAGTAGGAGATGCTCTCACGTGGTTTTACATATACAAAAACTTTGCAAGTTTTGTTATTCCCTCTTCTTTCCCAGAACTTCTTCAGTCAGAGTCATTGATATTGTCTTGATGTAAATGAGAGAAATATCTGCATCTGTTCTTGTTCTTCTTAAGGGGAATGCTGCCAAATGTGTGAAGCATTATCCGTGGGCTTTCTCCATTCCTATGCAATTCCTCTTTTTATTATCCTCTGATAATAAAGATATCCCTTTATTATAAGCTAAGGTATCTCTGTGCACTTGCTTTTTACTTGTTCTGTTTATTCTGTATTCTTCTTCCAGCTTAACCCGTCTTGATATTGATTCTGTTTCAACTTCTTTGATTTCTGTCAGTTGTAAATTATAAATGCATTATATGTGTAAGAATCAGTATATGTGTATATTTTAAAAGATAATCTGGACCCAAGCGTTTAATCTTTCTCTCCCCTTTGTTCTGAAACATTGTGGTGAATGAAATTAGGATGAGAATTTAAACACAGAATTCTAAAATTGATAGTGATTTTTTTGTGAGGTACTGCAAGGACTTCAGTGAGCTTAATGTGGGCTTAACTCTGGTTTGGCACAGAGGCAAACTTCCTGCTATAATCCATTGTTTTAAACGTCTCTCAGACTCTGCAGGAGAAGGAAAGAATTGATATGTGATACTGTGTAAGGAATACTACAGTAACAAGCTCCTGTGAGCCATGCTGAGCATTCAGATTGCCTGTACAATAAATGTTCAAGGACATCAGGCACTGGGTACACAGACATTTCTCTGGATTTTCAATGACTGTCACCTAGTCTGCCAGGGAAACTCACTGTGAATCACAAGGAAGTTATGGACAAATATTTCAGTTTCCTTTATTTATGGTAGGGGACCAAAAGCATGCTAAACACAGTTCTCTTCATCTTCATGCTTGCCGTGCTTCCTCTTAGGCAAAACTACTGGATTGTGTCATAGCCTGGCATTTGGCTTGGCTATGAATGCCACCCTGACCACAGTGGCTGGGCAGGATCTTGCCCCAGACAGGTGTGGGGATGTCAGTGCACTGATAGGCATCTCTGCTAGATTCACATCCCAGCTCAAGTATCATCAGGTTAAGGGTCATTAGTGTTAGCCTGTGTCTGGACCACTGGATTCACAGGGACACTCTGGAAGCCATTTGTCTGTGTGCCAAAGCCTTGTAAGGACTTGGAACAGAAGCCTGACATGCACTACTTATTCTTTGCATGATTACTTGGAGGGAAAAAAGCATAATCCATACCTACCCTCCCTCCCCAAGTGTTACTGCACTACAAGCATAGCTTAGGAAAGCATTCATATATTTCTGATAGAAGCTACATTATCATGCAGAATTCAAATTGCTGACTCCACGTACTTTTGTATATGTTGCCTTTGGGATACAAATGGGAAAATCAACAAGCTTGTAGCTAAAGTTCAAAAGGCTCCAGGTCAGAACTCAGGAAATCAAGTTCTAGTTTCTTTGCCAGATTTTTGTGACTCATTCCGATTACTTGATCTTTTACTGTCTCAATTGACTGCCTTGGAAATTAGCATAAACCCACTTATTTCTTCCCTAAACTTTTCCAGCCATTGTTGAGGCATAAAAGATAATGACTAATTTCAGATGTTCTCCTTAGGAGGATTGGGAAAGAGTGCTATTAACTTTGTGGTGTCATTCAGAAAAGTTAATGAGGAGACAAATGCTGAAAGTAGAGATTGTATCATCATCTGTGTATTGCATAGTGATTCTTCTTGGTGTCTAAGTGCAAGAGATCCCCAGACAATTAAAGGGGATCTATGCAAACTTTATGGAATAAACCTTTTGGAGGTCTGCTTTCAACCTTAGGAGATTATTCTAGATATGTAATAACGTCATATTTTCAGTGCTAAGCGGCATTTATTTGTTTAAAATGTAAGGTGGCCAAAACTAAGAGTCCTGAGTGTTTTTGAAGTTATTTTATTGGGAAACAACTTGATGCTTAAATGTTGTCTTGGACTTTCTCTGTTGAACTATAATATTAAGGACAAATTTTTTTATATAAAATCTGGGTCAGGAATGTGGTCAAAGATGTTAAAGCTAAGTCAGACAATGGTAATCTTTGGTATTAGGAAACCTTCTGTGTGCTGGCATGCTTTAAGCATAGTTGACTTAGCTTTTCACACTTCCTGTACAGAGCCATTCCTGACCTTGTAGCAGCTTTTTCCAAGGGTTCAGCGCTCATACCCATACACACAGTATCCATATCCCCTATTGGATACTCTGGGCTCCTCAGCACAGGAGAGACGTGGACATAGTGGAGAGTGTGCAGCCAAGGACAAGGAAGGTGTTCAAGGACAAGCACCATCCTGTCTGCAGGGAATGGCTGGGAGCACTGTGGTTCTTGAGCTCAGAAGAGAAGGCTCAGAGGCATCTCCTCAATGGACAAATAGCTGTAGGGAGGGTACAGAGGAGACAGGACTTGGCTGCCTTTGCTGCCTGGTGCCAGAACTGGAGCCACTGGGCACAAAATGAAACAGGGAAGTTTTCTTCTGAACATCAAGAAACATTTTTTTGCAGTGAGGATGATTGAGCACCACCAGAGGCTGGTCAGAGAGGTGTGGATTCCACTAAGTCACAGCCAAATCTGAGAGCAAGCCTGAGACAGCACCAAGTACCCTCCAAGGGCACCAGAGCATAACTTCAGGGGTTCCCTTCCAACCTCAGCCTGTGATGACGTTAATGATTCACAAACTGGGACATCACAGGACCAAATCAGTTATGCTTTGGAGGTTTAAGCTCTGACTCCCTGCCACAAATCTACTAAATAGACACATTAATGTAGTAAAGTGTGACCTAGCCACTACCCATAGCTAAAGTAGTACTAGGGCTAGGAATGTCTGGTTAAGTTTCCTCACTGCTGTGAATGTCAGTTACTTCGTATATTTATTGAGAAACTTGTAGTGATGCTTATCAGACAAAAAATAAAATTATTTTGGGTGAAGAGAACTGATGTCAGGGGAATCCAAGTAATTTCTGTCTGGAGGTCTGCAAGCTTTTTCATTAACTTGTGAGAATTCTAACTTGTTCTTGCTGATATAAATTGTATGCAGTCCTTAGCCTATGAAGAATAATTGTAAGAATTTAATAATCCAATATGGAATCAAAATCTAAAATCCCACCCATTTTGGATTTTTCTACTCACTGGAATTTTTTAGATTAGTTTGAAAGGCTTTTGTTGTATCTGTCTTGTCTCTGACTTCACTATGTTGTTAAACACTGCACTCCGTATCAGATACCAGGAAATAGCACTGCTCAACGTTTTCCAAATAACAGATGTGTTTTAATGTCACTCATTAACCAGTTGTATGAGCCATTAAAAGCCATTTTCACAGCGCTGTTCCTCCTAAGCAGGACTCTGAGAACCCTTGAGTTTACCTTAGCTATGGCTCTACAGAGCAATCTGTGGTGTTTGTGCCTGGTAAGGGACAGGTTATTACATAAAGACTACAGCCTTGAGTATGTTTGTGAATATAGGAAATAATATGTATTAATAATGCAAAATAATAGGAAATAATACATATTTTTGTTCATAGATAATGAAGACTATTGTTTAGTTTCTCTTAGAGCAGCTATTGTCTGAGGAGTATTGTGGTAGTGCTACCTCAGGTGCCTGGCTTCATGATTTCATCCTCATATTGCTTCTTATGTAGTAGATTTCTCTTACATGTTACAAATTTGGGAAGCCCAAGACCTGAATTTGCATGCTGTTGACAGGAAGTGCTTCATACTTGCACAGATCCCAAACTGATGGTGATTTAATCCCTATATAGCACTATGTCATCCTGATATCATGGGAAAAAAGGGGGTTTCTTTGCTGGTTTCTTGACTTTAGGAAATGATTAATGAGAAGTCATTCAGCTGATCTAATAAAATTTTTCCATGGAACAGTTATGAAGTGGCAGCCCTGAAGATTTCCAAATGAATGTAAATACAGTTGAGCTATTTAGCAGCTTCCTCAAAATTTGGTCCGTTGGAAAGGCACACTTATTGGGAGGACGAGCAATTAAAACGGAGACTTAGAATATACTCTGCTGTCTGTAGGGAGCAGCAAGTGTTACCCAGGGCTCCAGGGTGCAGAATCTGCAGCCTGGGGACTTCCTGCATCTGCCTGAGCTGCTGGCACCAACTGAGCTGCTAGCCCCGGGCAAGCTGTGTGCAAGGGCCTGTGTCTGAGCTGCCCTGGGAGTTCCATATACAGGGAGAAATGGCCATGAGACTCTAGAGATGTTTGGGGGCACTACTAATGCACCCCTGCTATTGGCAGATCAAACACAGCCCCTTCCTAAAAGGGAATTTTCTTCCTGTAGTTTCCTTCCACAAGGGAAGCCATATATTTAGCTTAATTGTAGCCAAATGTTATGACCTGGCGGAAAAAAAATCAAGATTCTAACCATAGGGCACAAAGTGATGGGTTCTAGTGATGCAGTGCTTCAGGCAGGTGAGCTGCACAGTATAGAAAGGCATTTTATGTGATGAACTGCATAGATTTAATTGGAAACTTCTCCCTTGGGGTTTGGGGAATTGGAGGGGTGTTTTTGGGAGTTGGTGTGTAAGGGTAAGAAAAGGGGGAAGATAAACCCTGAGGGTTATCCTAAAGGTTTGACTCATTGTGACAAAACTAAACTGTTTCTACTTTGTTAGCTTTCTGTCGTTTTTTTTTTTTCCTGCTACTTGCTGAGTTTGGGATGTTTGTATCCCCAGTTATATTAGCACTTAGAAATTGAGTAGAGATGTTTTTACACTTGAGATGTAAGATCTGATTTTAATGAGTGACTTATTGTATACTTTGCAGCTGTTAGAAGAAATTAATCTGTCAGTTAAAAGCCAAAGTACAGCTCCTGGTTTTCTATATGACAGCTCTGAGTCTCTAATCTGATACTAGACTTGTAATTTTATTGATCAGCTTAGTTATTTCTCTGTATTCATCCAATAGGTTTGCCATTCAGGTTTCTGAATGGCAAAATAATTGTACAGAAGTGTTATAGTCTTGATTTCTACAGTCACAGCTGTCTAGCAGAATTCAGTTTTGGGGAACCTCAGTCTCCAACCAGAATTCAGTTCATAGTGACAGAGGTAACAGTTCATTTACAAATCTTGCTTGTGTTGGTAAAGGGGAGGCAAGTGTTAGCTCTGGGAAGAGTAACCTGGTGAACATGACAGAGCTACGACTGAATCACAGAATGTACTGTGTGGTGTACTGTATTTTATTACTTGTTAGTTTGGGGAAATAAAGAGAGCTTTATGTAGAATATATTGAATATCATATGTGACAAATTGCTGTCTGATCTCAGATAGAAATACTGAAAGATGCCTAATTTTCCCTCTGTTGTGAGTTGGTCAATTTCTGAGCTGTGATCCTTAATTTATGGTCCAGAAATTTTTCTTACTATTGCAGAGTTATTATAAAAGCAGTGTAGATCAAGTTACTAGGAAATTATAGATACAGCTGCACTCTGATTCCAAGTAGTAATGTGTAGGATAGTGAAAAAAATTATGCATTTTGGATTCCGATGTATTTTGGTTGTTTCCAAAGGGTCCACACTGAAACAACAAATACATTCCTTCTGAAAACTCAGTCAGGCATGCACCAGGAACTGCTGTGACAGCAAGAAGAGCCTAATTTGAACAGCCTGAGTACACAATTGCTCACAGCATTGCAGCAGCCTCGAGGTCACTCCTCAAGGTCTCAGCACCGTTTGGCGTCGTTGGGCTTTTTCTTCCAAGGAATTATGATGTGTATGCAGACTCGTCTGTATTAATAGTATCTGGAAAACTTACTCGTTTTCAGAAAAACTATTTGCACAGAAAATGGAATTCTTTCTCCTTCGTTGGGGAGTGTATATCAGTGGTTCCAGTGCAGAGAGAGGCTAGCTATGGGAACGGGGAGGAGGAACAATGGTGTTAAACTGATAAGAGGGTAGTTTTAGACGGGATATGAGGAAGAATTTTTTATTATGAAGGTGATGAGATAAGTTGCCTAGATAAGCTGTCGATGCCCCATCCCTGAAAGTGTTCAAGGCCACGTTGGATGGGGCTTGGGGCAGCCTGATCTAGTGAAAGATGGCCCTGCACACAACAGGGGCTTGGAATGAGATGATCCTTAAAAGTCCCTTCCAACCCAAACCGTTCTGCGATTCCAAGGACGTCAAGTTATTCTATCCAGCCTTTGGGCAGCCTTTCTGCAATTGGATTTTCTCTGTTTTGATGACAAACTTTGCCATGGTGTCCAGTGTGAGGTAGGATTGCGATAGGTCAAGATTGTGATTAATGCATAATTTATATCTATCAGCAACAATCACCAACATAATTGCATTTAATTATTTCTGCAATTATGTGGTATTAAGGAGTTACGATGTTGCAAGGTAACAATTAAATGGAAGTTGTTTTCCCTGTAATTAAATAGCCAGTATTACACTAATAAGTAGAATTTGAACCCTAAAATAGAAGCATTTCTACTCTACTGTGCTTTTGCATCTTAGCAAAGCAGTGTCTGGGTTCTGCCTGAAATGCAGATGAGAGCAATAACTCATTAGTTTTACTAAATAATGAATTAGTTTTAGAGAAGCAAAGGTATGATGTCTGCCTTCATTTCAGTTTTCAGCAAAAGATGTTATTTGAGGAATAAGCATACTTAGTTCACATTTAGGGGACTTGAAAGCTTGAGGCAGTATGATCAAGTTGCTAGTATACAAAGTACTCGATTCATGTAAACGTTGAAAATAATAATTTACATTGTTTTTACCACCAGTTTGATTTATTTTTTCTGCAGCATGTTTCATAGGCTTGCACCTTATTAATGTTATCATTGCAGTAATAGCAGATATAGTTCTTATTTCCTAAAAATGTGTTCATTGCAGAGCTAATACTGCTGTGCACATCCATGCAACCTTATGGGGTTGTCCAACTGAAAGTTTATGGCTGTGAAACTGAGAAAAAGCAGCATCTTCTCAGGTTTTCTTGCTGTTAAACACACGCAGATCAAAAGTGATGTTCTGTATTGTGTACATTCCATTCTGCCAGTGGAAAAAGCAAGTAAAGGAGGCCCAAAGAACTTGCTGCACTGTTAGCGCTCCACAGCAAACGTGCATTAGCTACATTTTTGAAATCCAGTCTGTTCCAGCCTAGCTCAGATGGAATGGAGGCTGCTGAGGAATAGGAGTTAGTATTGTAGTTAAAAATAACAACTTGTCATTTTTGCTGCTTTTCCCTCTTGGATAGGAAAATGACTGTCATTCCAAAGGGACTATGTTGGTAATGTTCTATACACAAGTACTTCTCTGTGTACATGTAATATTATAGATAACAATACATAGTATAGAACATGGGATGTAGGCTCTAAAAAGGAAACCAAAAAGGGAATGAAGATGGAAAGCTTCTATTTCTGTAAGGAAAAGCATAATCCACTGGGCATCACACATTTAGAAACACAACCATAGACAAAATTATGCAATATATATTTCTTGAATTGTTAAGTTACTTGAGCTGTAATGGAAGCCCACTTGTGTTCTTTTGGCTCATATTCAATCCAAGCTAATTCATGGTCTCTTGCTAATTGTGTAGAGGCCATAGCAACGGTTAAAATTGTGCCAGTGTCTTCTGGCAGCAATGCCATTATACCATTAGCATATCCTGAAGGCAGCTGTGGTGTGCTCAGCATCAGCCCAGAATTCCTAGCCAAAGTCTCGGCCTGTTGCTGCTGTAGGTGCCCCTGTGTAATGGGGAGTTCAAAGTTCTCAGCTGTAACCAGAGTTTGTGATGATTTTTCAATGCTGTTTTTAACTGTGCACTTAAAAATGGTCAGTGGCCAGAACCCAAGAATTGTTCTTCAGGGTTCATGCTCAGTAAAAAGGAAATTGGGATTCCAAAAAGAAAGTGTCTAGTGAATGGCCTTGGAAAAGAAAACCTGGGAAAGGGAAGCTGCATGTTTTTCCCCATAGAGGTTGGTATTATTTAAGGGTAATTGAGGTAGGCTTTCTTGTGTGCAGCTTTTCTGGCACACATGCTGTCTGTCATTCTAATCTGATTTAACAAGCAGATTTCTAATCAATCCTTTTTCCCCACATTATTTATATTGTAACTTTAACCGTCATGGTCCAAAAATAGCTTATTAGCTGAAGAACTGTTATGTATAGAATGTTGTACTTAGTCCCTGGAACTTGCAGAATCTATTTTTTACAGCACTGCTTATGAATACATTTCAAATTACTGATACAAAATCAGTTGGTCTTTTTTCCCCGTTGTATTTATCACAACCATGTGATTATGAAAGAAGAGTTTCATGAAGCTTGGCATGTCAGCAGTGCTACTTTATTAGGAGTAAAAATGTGTCAAGCTCTGAATAATATGAATTAAATAGGAGATGAATTTGGCAAGAGGCTGGTCCATCCTGATATTCCCTGATGCAGTTCTCTTACTGTCTAATCATTTGAGTGATGCTTGTGATTCAAGCACTAAGTATAGGCTGGGATTTTGGTTTCTGCTCCTTAGATGATGATGGGAACATCTGAGTAACAGGAGCTGCTGGTAGAACAGGATAATATTTCTTCATTCCTCCCCCCTGCCACCCCCCAACTACTCCTCCCCAAAAAGGACTTCTCAAATCCATGTCAAGCATGGAGGTAGAGAGTGAGGCTATGGAAGTTACTATTGACTAATCCTGAAGTATGTTTCTACATACCCTGCTAGGTGTCCTTGGGGTGAGCATTCTTGTTTCCTTTGGGAGTAAATACTCACTGGAAGTCAGTGTTGCTCCGTGGATCACAGCTAGTTTGTAGCCATGGCACCTCATATAGGAAGAGCTGAGCACTCCTTGTTTCATTACTTCACAAAAAGCTTCTGATAAGCAGTTTTTTTGTTTCAGAGAAGGTGATGCCTTTCTCTACCACAGCTCTATTTTGAAACAGAGAAATAAGTCACAGAAAAAATTTTGTTTGCAAGTGTGTGAGAACTTTGTTTCAGTATTTTTTTTCTGAAAACTCTGGGGGAGAAAAAGGAATTAATAAGCAACTTCCTTTACATCAGGAAATATCATAAAACCTATTAATGACAGAAACAGCCTAAACGCTCTTGTATTTTCACTTTTACTGTGTTTTGCATTGTTCTTATGCAGGGTCCTAAACCATGAATATAATTGATTTGTTTAGTTTTAACACCTTCCCACTTTAATTCAAGTGGGGAAAAAAAACCGCAAAAAGCTCAGATCTTTCTTGAAAAAGTCCAAAGCTAAGAGGACTAAGATAAATAAGTGTATTCCTCTTTTGGTTAAATCCACCCCATGTCAGGAGTTCTAGCAAGACAAATTTGCTCCATGTAGTTGATTTCAGTGTAATTTTTGAGACTTGTGTGTGATGAGTGTTGAGGCTCCTTTGTGTGGCAGGGTTAATTCCTCTCTCCAGAAGTTCAATATTTAAAACCCATACTAAGTGCAAGTAGCCTAGAACAAAGTGCTTTGATTCTGTGCTGGATTTCTTTTTTTTTTGTCTGACAACAAAGAAACATATTCATTTTATGGTATGCATTTCTCTCACAGTTCTGGAAAAGCTCACTGTTTATTCATGAAGGAAGGTCAGTAAGGCCTGGTTAATCTAAGCATTTCTTATTTCTCATTTATTTCCTAAAAGGGATAACTCTTGCCTTATCAAATAAGAAGATTCACAGGGAAAATGTGTGTGACTTGCAGAAGGGAAGACAAATGGGAAATGTGAAGTGGGTTTGTGTTTAGAGGAATTTTAACTATTAGAGCAGGCTGTATTTTTCAATTGTATTTTCTTGTTCTTTTTGATCACTGGTATCAATACTATTTACATTTTCATTTTCCTAAATGATGGTGGGTCAAGAGATGAAAATTTTACATCGGGGCAATTTGTGTCCTTTACCACTGTCCATTGGGAGAGCTGGTTCTAAACTTCTTCTTTAGAAATGTGATCCTGGGGTGCCACAAAGCTGCCTCCTTTTAATAAGTGAGGTACACTGATTCCCGTGTGGAGGAGATGCCATGGCCTCCAGGCTGCTTAGCACACTGCAGTCTGCTGTTTCCTCAGCTGTGACTCTGATGGATGCACACAATGCCTTTGGATTTGTCCCTGATGTAATTTATGTGGCAACTGACTTGGCCTTTTTTTAACTAGTGGCTTCTTAACTGGTGCTTTGCCCTTAAAAAATTAAAAAGCCTATTAGATAGTTTAAATAATTCAATTAGAAGAAACTAAAGGGCCAGAATTCTTTATCATACTAAAATAAAACACCAAACTAAAGCAAATTGTGGATCCCCAGCATTTCATCCTGACAAGATTCTAGTACACAGTGATAAAATTTTCCATTCTCAATTATTAAAATGCAGTTAAGCAGCAATTCACAAGCATTGCAGAACACCATCTACTGCTAATAACTTGTTTATAAGAGGATGTATTAAGGCTTCAAGGTTAATGGAAGTGTAGCCAATAAATGCTGATATATTTGATTGTGTTTTTTTAAGGCAGCACTGAAGCAGTTTTCTTATTGACATTGTTAGTGCAGCTGCCTCTGTTTTGATTTGGAGTTATTGTTCAGTGTAGCTTAGAGAGTGAACTGAGACACTGACAGTGTGGGAGCGTGCTCAGAGACAGAGATATCAAGTGAGCTATTTGAGCTGCTTATCAATTGTTAATTGTCTACTGATCCTTAAACCAGATACCTAAACTGAAAAGACCACTTTCAGCAACAGATGCAAATTATATGGATCCTGTAGGTGTGCAGGCCCTACAACATAAGTGGAGTGCTAAATTTTTTATTACATACTGTAGCTTTCATATCTGGGCAGTTCTAACATCGACCTCCAAACCTAAAGTTGTTCTGAATTCATCTGGAATGAGAAGGTAACACCTGAACTGAAGCTGGATTAACAGCTGCATGTTGACCAGTTGTCCATAAATATATTTATTTGGATTTCCCATGTCAAATGCACTTGCTTTAGAATAGGCCAGGAGTTGGAGATCTTACATGTGTTTTTTATAAAGTGGGAATTTTGGATGCATTTTCAACCATGTTGCTACTAATGCTTCAAAGAAAGACAATGCAAGTGTTCATGGTTACCAGTAATGTGCTTGAGGTTTTCTGTGAAGGAGTTATATGAATGAAACATGATACAGATGATGTATTTCATGTTCAAACTCCCTGGAACATCACCTGTTTGCTTTCAGTGCTATGGGAGAATGTGCTTGTGCTGGGAGTCTGCTGTGCCAAGTTGGAGCAGTCCTTGATTTATGCCTTTGCATGCTTTGCACACTTATTGTGTGTGCCAGAGGAGAGAAACGCTGCTGGGAACAAGTTACGCGATTTTTTAATTTTTTGCTTTTTTTGACAGGATAAATAGTTTCCCCAAAACGATCCTGTGTGACTTTTTATATGAAATAAAAAATGTACATATTTGGCAACTTCTCCATCAGCTGTTTTTTTACAGAACTGTGACAATTTGGGAGAAGAATGGGAATGAAGAGAACAGCAGCTTGAAGGCTATGATCTTTGAAGCCATTTGAGCAGTCAGAATCAGTCTCAGACATCAATGACCAGGCCCTTTTCTATCCTTGCACATAATTCTCTTGCTGCAAAGGCTGCTGGCCATTCCTAAGGTGAAGACATCAAAATAAACATCCTCTCTCTTTTTCCATTTACATTCTCACAAATGATTGCTTAATCAAAGTCAAAAATCCTGGCCCTGGAAGCTCACCTGTCCCACAATAGTTAGTGTTTTGTTGAGCCCCTGGGTTGGTGCTGGTGCTGCTCTTTGCATTACACAGGAAATCTGGGAGCACTATGTTAGATTTGTCATCCTTCTGGATGCAGGAGTGCTTTTTGTCAAGTCTCACCACAAAGCTGCTCTGCCCTGGCGACCTGACTGCAAAGCTGCCTTTCATCAGGGTACATTAAAAATCTAGACAAATAAATAAGGAAGGACTATGCCCTGATTAAAACTTCATGGACAATATAGGAGTGACTGAAATTGGACTGAACTTTTTTGTTGGTTTGGGGCTTTTTTGGAGTGAGTGTTTTTTTGAGTAGCTAGTTGGTTTTTTGGAATGTGTGATTTGGAATTTTTTGACAGCTTGTTTGGGATTCTTTTTGAGAAGTCCTGGATGAAATACTTGCAGCCCTTGTGAGCTGCTCTTTTTGAGCTTTAGTTATAGGTGAGTTCGTTCCTTTGAAAGTTAAGAGCTGACATCTATTAACTCCAGATTTGTGTTGATAACATTTTTCACGAGTCAGTACTATTCTCTATCCCCCATTGTATCATAAATTCTATTATCTGCTTTTCTGTTACATAGTTCTGTGTTTAACTGAAATCCAAAAGTCTTCTCTGTGTGATGTTTTTCAGTGCCTAAGAGGTCAAATGCCAGCTTCATCTTTGTCTTGAACATTGCCTTTTCCATTCTTGCATAATTAATTCTTCTATTTTCTTGCTATTTTTTGATCCAGTATATCTACAAGTTCCTTCTTAGAGACAAAACTCAAAAGGGTAATTAGGAACTTCATTTCTGTCCATATATTTGAAGACAGAACATTTAGCTAGTAAGGGGTAGTTGCATTTCTGCTTCAGTTTGCATATTGTCTTACAGAATCAGCTGTATTTTAGCTTGGCTGAATGCATTTTGGAATCCTTTGAGTATAGACCAAAACTCAGCCAAGATTTGCTCCTGGCTGTGGTGTCATTCATCTGGTGGTGCTGAGGAGAGAGTGCAGGAGCAGCACAAGCTGCAGCTGTCCTGTTCCTGGTTAGCTGGGATTTCATGCACCCAGAAAACTTCCCTGTGGGCTACCCAGTAATGTCTTGGTTTGCTTTAGCACCTGGTACACCTTGGCCACAACTTGGTGCTTGACATCCCAAACAAGACTTTATCAGCTCTTTCTGATTGTGCATCTTTTCCTGGTTTATCACTTGTAATACTTGTGTTTAGTCAGCACATGCCTGTGCAGCTCTTCTCTTTTCCATTGATGACTGGAGAGATTTTGCTGCTTTATAGAATTTATATAAAATCGGGTAAGCCCTCCTTGTCTGGCTCATTGCCATTTGCATCTTCAGTCGTAAGTGAGACCCTCAGTACCAAACTTATTTTTTCTGTACTGCAAACAAGATGGACTGGGTATAAGATTCACTCTATTTGGTTATCTCGGCTTTCAGTGAAAAGTAGCAGTCACTGCCTAATATATTCTTTAGTGTCAGCTTTCCAAACTTACTCTGTGCAGACTACACTGTCCCTTCTTTGATGTTTTTGCATTATCTCTGTTCATTAGAATATTGAGGTTCTTGCCTCAGTGGTAACAGGCAAATATTTCCCACAAATTAAGATTTTAAAGTAAGCAGAAATTTTTCACAAGCCTCAAACTGATGTCCCTGTGATTTGCAGTGGTTTCCTAAGAGCCCCTTAAAATATGGCTCTTGCTTGTTCTTATCAACAAAAGCTGGGAAACTGGCACTTATCCCTCTTCAAAAGAAACAGTCTGCTAATTGCCTTCCCTTCTCCTTTGATCTTCGTGACCAGTTTTTCTTAATATTATAACTTCTCTGAATTCTGAAATGGAAGGAGGTGTCTCATAATCAGTCTTAATGCTCTGCATAATTCTTGTTCCCCAAAGAAACCAGGTCACCGCTCAGCTGAGCAAATGTCTTTAAAAACACAGTCTGGGTCATCTAAACAAAAGAGGAGCTGGAAGTCATCCTCTAGTTTTCCTTCAAGAGCAAAATTTAGCAAGTGAGTTTGGGTATGAGAGCTTTTTAGCTCGTTTAATAGTGTGTCCTGTTCTGGTTTTATCCTCAGTAGTGAGGATATGGGCTGTCCATGGGTTCCACTCAGATGCTGTCGACCTCCCTGCTTTGGCAGTACAGATGAAGTCACTGAGTTGCTGACAGATGGATTTCCTCTCACTCATTCGAGCTGAAGAGACACTGAATCAACAGAATCAACATCTCAGGGCTACCTCACTGCAAAAAAAGCTGCCTCTTCCAGAACGACACTTTGTCCTTCGGTGTTTATTCAGGTGCTTTTGGAAAACAGTAGCTAAGCATTAAAACAGCACCAAGATCCAAGCCTTCCACAGAAGGGCAAAAACAGATTGAACATAAAATGATACAAAATTGTTTTCTTCTTTTATTCTTTTCTTTTTCCTTTCAATCTTACCTTTAGTTTTTATTGACGTGGCTGCGTTGTTGTTTGCGTTGTGTGCCGTGTTTGGTGTGCTGTATATAAAATTTAAAGCTATGTATGAGCAGGTCCCTTCCCTATAGCAACTGCAGTAATATGCAATCCACTTCAGATGTCATTCATCACTGCAAATAAAAGCATGACAGCTTACATCTCGGAAGCTGATCCTCTTAAATCCCTTTCTGGTCTGAGCCCATGCATTGAATTTCACCTACAGCTGTTTTCCAGCTGAGTTTGATTGAAAGCCTTTTCATTTGTTACCTGCTGCAAATCCTGCACTACAAATGCCAACTTAAATATAAGAAGAAAGAAACAGAAGCTAACAAAGTATTTCATGGAAGAACTTTGTTAGGGGTGGAAGGCAGTTGTGGGATTCAAGTTTTGCAATACAATGAGACATACCCTGCTATGTAGTGCCTGTATGGAAACACAGAGGGCTAGTTTGACAGGTAAACATCTATTTTGGACAATTCCTGAGTGACAGGCAATGTGCATAGCACAGTGAAGTAGAAGTGGGTGCAACTTCCATTGTGAATGATGATCACTTGTCTTTCAGTAAGTTGTGAGTAAGCACAGTAGCAGTTTCTACTGAGTGGGTACTGCTGGGGGAGAAGTAGCAATGACATTCTTGTGTGCTTGTGTCATCTGTGTGCTTCATGTATGAAATCAATGCTGTAAGAAACACTTCCATTTGTCTCAAGTGGGGTTTGCCAATGTCCTGTTTGTTATAAATGGGACAAGGGGCACTGCTGAGATGGGAAGCAGGAATGCAACGCTGTAGATCAGTGAGGTGTGTACCTAACCCTGCAGATGGATGAACTTCTTATGCTGTTCCCTCACCAAGCATTTTCTTGGTGTTATAAACAGTGCAACTCATGTCCAAATAGAGTTCTTTTCTTATAGCTCCTTTCTTTGCAATCCTTTAATGCACTAAAAATTGTGGAACACATAGGATACTGTAATTAAAATAAACTTATGTATTGATAGCATTTACCTAAACAATTAGAAGCAGTTGGACATGTCCCATTCTAGTGGAATTATGGCATCTCCTCTGGTGTGAGCTCTAGCACAGCTTTGTGACACTGGGTAGCTTTTTTTCCCTATGACAGTCTGCACTGGTTTGCTACTCTTTTCCTAATGGGATTCAGCCTGTAAATCAGGCTTGAAGCAGTGGTGTCGATGCAAGGACAGAAGTGTTATCTGTTATTTGCTTTAGGCATCAGTCACACAAGATATGAGTTACTGAAGTGCATATTGCTATAGTACATCCTTCTTTCTCATGTGCATCCATGAGAGGCAGAGAAAATCGTGAACAAAGATTAAAGCATTGCTTTACACTTATACTGTATTATGTTGCTAATGGGCACCAAGTTATGCATGTGATGTGTATGACTGAAGCCCAGTTTCTATCATGAAATGAACCAATTGCACAGATGAGATGCTGGTATTTATTGCTGCTGTCCTGCTCTCTTAGGATTACACATCTTTTAGATTTCCCAGCCAATAACAACATTTACTTTAATGGGCAAAGGTCAAGTTTAGGCTGCATCTGAGTTCAAGGACTAGGTAATGCAAATTTTTTTTTTATTTCTTGAGGAGCTATAAGATTATCTTGAGGATTCCCCCCCTTATTTAATTATGCTGCCTCAAGATATTTCTTTTGCTACATATCCACGTATTCCTGTGCATCCTCTAAGTAATTTTACAGAATTCTGACCCACTGTCACAGGGACTAGTGTGGCTTATGTGCCTCTGTGGTTGGGTATTTTAATTTTTTTTCTGCAGTGAGGCACGATAAGAGATTGGCTCTAGTAATTAGGCTACCAAACTTCCATGGTTATGTCTTTCATTTTGTCTAGCTTGCTTCCAAAAGATATTTGGCACAGGTGAAGGTACACAGCTGATGTTTTTTCCAGCTGTGAGTGCAGACACAAAGCAGGTTTGAACTCGTAGCCAGCAGGCTTGCTGCTGCCATGTTATGGAGTTTTTGATACTTAGTAATAGGAAAAAAGAAGAATGAGGATGATGATAACTTGCTAGTTCTGTTTGCAGAGTCATTTTCAAGAAAGGCTGTGCTTTTTGTGATTTCTGTAGCCTAAGTCAGTGGCATAGAAATGGGGTAACTCCAACTGATGATATAATTTTGGGGTGAATTAGTTCACCTTTCCTGGCTGGTTCTTTTTTTCTTACTAGGGTTAATTTTTCATTAAGATTATCAATATTTAGTTCGAGGTCAAATTGTATACAAGAGTAGATTTCCTAGTGCTCTTTTGTGCTGGGAAATGCAGTAGACACATGTATCATGTGACCTTTGGTTTCTGCTGTTTTCATAATGCAAATACTGGGGAAAAGAGGCCAGTAGGAGAAGGATAAATAGAATTCAGCTTGGAGAATGAAAGCGGCTGTAGAGCTTAAAGATCACTGATGGATTTGATTTGATTTGACAGAGCAGGAAAAAAAATTTGAAGCTGTGACCCTCTAGAACCTATTCTGAGTGTTGCAATGAAGAGGGAAGGATGAGATGTAACCACAGTGATGGTGAGGATGCTCTCAACTTGGTGACTGAGCTCTGCTATGGCTGACAGAGCAGTTCTCACTCACCTGCCTTTGGAAGCATCTTAGGGATGCCTCCCTTTGTTCTGTTGAGCCCTACCTTGGAAACACCTGCATATGTTCAGTCCTCTATGCCTGGGACAGAACTGGTAGGGCCTCAGTGAGAGCAGCCAACTCAGGCAGTAGTTTTCATTACAAAATGGGAAGAACATGAGAAGAGAAATAGTTTTGGTAGGTAGGCAAAATGCCTGTTGCTTCCCATCTCGGGGCAGATGATATCTAGTCAGGATGATCCCAAAGCAGCAGGGGAGCATAAATACAAAAAGGCTGTTAGGTTTGCTTATAAAGAAATAGTGAGTTGATTGAAAGAAGAGTTAGAGGCACTTTGACAGACACTTGGCTTTACAATTCATGGGGATCTGAGACTTCAGTAATGAGCATTACTTACTTCATGGAATGATGTCTCATCATTGGATTCCAAGGGCACTTGTGCTGTGGATGTGGGCTGATTTCAGACTTGCCAACTAGTTCATGAACTACAGCTTTCCTCTGGAGAGCAAAGGCGCACTGGAACAGCTATGGTTCTGTAGGAGTAGAGGTGCTTTTAAAAGTCATTCAGAAAGAAGTTATGAAAGCACTTGTATTCTGATGAATTTTTTTTTCAAATTCACACTAACACAATCATGCTATTAGAGAAAAAGAACCCAATGACAAGATACATCGGGTATTGTTAGAAATGCACAAGGAAGAGGAATGCAAGAAATTATCTGTGAATTTACATCAGGGAAAATGGGCAAGAATCAGAGTGGTGGCTTTCTAGGGAATGAGGAGTGTGCTCATTTTTGTCCTTAAGGAGCCATGAAAAAAAGTGGGTATTTAAGGATATTTTAGAATTCTTGAAGAATTTTGTGAATTTGGTCTGAAATCAAGCATGACATGCCTGGTTATTGGCACCTGTGGCACCCACTGCAAACCTGTGACAAATACGGGGTCTCCCCCATAACCTACCATTCTGTCCTGTCACTGGGCAGTGTTCTCTGGTGCTTGGCAGTTTATTTCCCAAAATAACTTCTGCAACTTGCAATTCTTCCCTCGTACTTGAACGTGTCAGTTAGATTTAGATTTTTAGGGATGTTCAACAAAACGATGCCAGCTCCTATCTCTAACATCAGCACTGAGGAATGCACTTCTGGGTGCTGCTTTCAGTAGAACAGGAAATGTGAGTCTTTAATGAGGAGAGGCAAAGCCTTCCAGCTCCATGTCAGGTGGTTCTTCCTTCGGTTTGAGCTTGTGCCAGGAAGGCTGCTCGATCACTTAGGTGAATGCTGTAACTTAAGCTCCTTTTCAGTTCAGTATCAGTCAAACATTAAATGTTTGGACTGTCTTTTTTGCCTTCCCCGTGCTTTGCTGTTGAAAATTGGTCTGTTGTATTTTCTCTCTGCTGCTGGTTTATATTGTTCAGCACAAGTTAGTTTTCAAAAGAATTAATTGTTTCATAAACTTGTTTTCTTAAGCTATGTTTAAGCCAATTTTGTAATCCTTTATCAAAGATGGTGCAGGTGCTTTGTGTAGCAAGAAGAATGCTTTAAGTGTATGAAAAA